CTGGAGTGCAGTGGCGTGATCTCGGCTTACCACAACCTCTGTCTTCTGGGTTCAAGTGACTCTCCTCAGCCTCCCAAGTAGCTGGGATTATAGGTACACACCACCATGCTGGGCTAATTTTTGTATTTTTAGTAGAGACAGGGTTTCACCACGTTGGCCAGGCTGGTCTCAAACTCCTGACCTCAGGTGATCTGCCTGCCTTTGCCTCCCAAAGTGCTGAGATTACAGGTGTGAGCCACCCACCTGGCCTTTTAATTTCTTAAAGCAACATCATCCATCCATCCACAGTCAGGTATTCATTCAGCACATGCTTGCTGGGAGCCTGCTTCTTGCTGCCTTGGGAATAAGGTCTGGTCAGTCCCTGGCCTCTAAGTTTAAAGGGAGAAAGTGCCAGATGAGCAGAGTCTTGTCTATTCTGCTCCCTCCTCTCCCAGCACTGTGAAGTGGAGTGAGGCAGGCACGTACATCTTCCTTGCGTTTAGCAGGGGAAGAAACTGAGTCCGAGGAGCAGTGATTTGCGTGAAGGAAAAAGAAGGTGCTTGTAGAAATTCTAAAGTGTCCCTTACATTGGGAAGCTGGTTCGGTTCTTTCAACCATTCTACAGGGAGGGCAAGGTAAGAGAGGGTAACAATTCTGTTTCACAGACGGAGAAACCGAGGCACAGAATGAGGAAGGGATTTGTTCAGGGTCATAGCTAAGACCCAACATGCTGGATTCAGGATCTTGTATTCTTTCTGCCATAGCAGATGGACCGTCTTCTCAAAGGATCCTGAAATTATTCAGAAATAACATTGGTGTGCCTGTGGAGTCCTTAGGGACATGCTAGGGCTCTGTAGTGAGATTCTCTTTGGATTCTGGTGTAGGGGGGGATGTTGAGAGCCCAGGTAGGCGTCTCTGGGCTTGAGGGTGTCTGACTTGGAGTCTGCAGGTCCTGATCCTCCTGGAATGTGTTGATCTGAGAGGGTCCCAGAGTTAGAGGGGGATACTTGGGGGCTGGGGCCTGGAGAATTCAGCAGTCCTCTTCCAGCCTTTCCCCAGCGGAGGAGGAGGGGGAGGGGGAGGGGGCGGGGCTCCCCACCAGCATTCCTGAAGCTCGGGAGTGTCACCCGCTCTGAGATAAGGAGGTGGATTTTTAGAATTTCTTGTGATTGGCACGGCCAGTGTCAGCAGGCTTGGGGCAACCCATCAGGGTCACAGATGCAGCCTCTACCCTGCCCTGGGCAGCTCCAAGGACACACTGGACCCCCAAAGGGGGACTAGAGGGGGATCGGGAAGAGATTTCCATTTTCTGCAGGGCCTTTTGGTTCTGACCTAGTCCTCTAGCAGGAGACTTGTGGGTGTGGAAAATTGGGGTGCAGGCACATCAAGCCACCAAAAACAACAACAGTATTCATGGTGGCCACCAGGTATAGTGCGTTCACTACAGACCAAGTGCTTTTTTTGTTATTGTTGTTGAGATGGAGTCTTGCTCTATTGCCCAGGCTGGAGTGCAATGGTGCAATCTCAGCTTACTGCAACCTCTGCCTCCCAGGTTCAAGCAATCCTTCTGCCTCAGCCTGCATGCCACCACGTCTGGGTAATTTTTGTGTTTTTGGTAGAGATGGAGTTTAACCATGTTGGCCAGGCTGGTCTTGAACTCTTGACCTCAGGTGATCCACCTGCCTCGGCCTCCCAAAGTGCTGGGATTATAGGCGTGAGCCACCGCACCCGGCTGCCGTGTGCTTTTTTGTTTTGTTTTGTTTTGTTTTTTGAGACGGAGTCTCTGTTGCCCAGGTTGGAGTGCAGTGGCGCGATCTCGGCTCACTGCAAGCTCTGCCTCCTGGGTTCACGTCATCTCTTGCTTCAGCCTCCCAAGTAGCTGGGACTATAGGCGCCTGCCACCATGCCCGGCTAATTTTTTGTATTTTTAGTAGAGACAGGGTTTCACTGTGTTAGCCAGGATGGTCTTGATCTCCTGACCTCATGATCCACCTGCTTCGGCCTCCCAAAGTGCTGGAATTACAGGCGTGAGCCACCGCGCCCGGCCCGCCATATGATTTTGCACATTATCCAGGTCAAGCCTCACAACCAGCCTGGAACTAGGGAATTCTACAGAGGAAGAAAAAGAGAGGCACCGGGGCATGAAGTAACCTGCTTTTGGTCACATAGCAAGAGAGAGGCAGAGCTGGATTCAGCTCTGGGTCTGCCCGACTCTAGGACTCAAGCTTACTTGTCTGAGGGCTCTGGAGTGTGGCTCTGCCTTCTCTTTGCTGTGTGACCTTGGGCAAGTTACTTAACCTCCCTGGGTCTCAGCTTCTGCATGTGTACAATGGGAAAAAGCAACCAAGGAAACCGTCCCTACTGCCTCAGATAGCTGTGGAGGGACAGTGCATGATCCAAACTCTTGTTTGTAGTCCGGACCACGCTCCTATGCCTCTTACTCTAGGAGGGTTCCCTTGCCCCCTGCCCGCCCCCAGCAGGTATAGTGAGTCCCTCCCCAGGGCTGCTGTCTTGTCGTCACTGTGGGAGGGGAGGTGTTGATTTCTCCTTTCTGTGGGTGAGGGCTGCTCTGAGGAACCCCTGTATGCTCCTAGCTTTTGCTGTGTCAGCTCTTCTCTAATGCATAAGACCCCGTGGCAGTGCATGGAGGGGAGGGCTGGCCTTAGAAGGGGCTTGGGCCGGCCGGGCACGGTGGCTCACGCCTGTAATCCCAGCACTTTGGGAGGCCAAGATGGGCGGATAACTTGAGGTCAGGAGTTTGAGACCAGCCTGGCCAACATGGTGAAACCCCATGCCTACTAAAAATACCAAAAATTAGCCGGTCTTAATGGGTGCCTGTGATCCCAGCTACTCAGGAGGCTGAGACAGGAGAATCGCTTGAACTTGGGAGGCGGAGGTTGCGGTGAGCCAAGATCACGCCACTGCACTCCAGCCTGGACAACAAGAGCGAAACTCCATCTGAAAAAAAAAAAAAAAAAAAAAGAGAGAAATACCTACTTCTTAAGGGTTATTGTGAGAACTAAGTGGGATATTGCACACAGAGTAGCTAGCACAATGGCAAAACACTCCATGAATAATTGAGTAAAAGTAATTGTTCAATCAATGGTATTGTCTGTGTTAGGTACATAACATGCTATGGGGTGCTAGAGAAAGCTAGAAAGGACGTGTTCCTTGGATCAGTGGCATCAGGCCTCCTCCAGTCTGAGTTGGGAGCACAGGCTTTGGACTTAGTCTGGACTTAATTGCCACTCTACCACTCAAGACTGTGTGGCCTTGGGCAAGGCCCTTAACCTCTCTGAGTCTCCCCTTCCTCACCATGGGCAAATTAAGGATACTAATCCCACTCCCCTGGCCTGTTGGTAGGAGTAATTGATGACCAGACATGTAGTAGGCACTTAAAGATAGTGCTGCTCATCATCAACAATCCACCAACATTTACGGGACACTTGCTGCATACCTGGGCCTGGACTGGTTTTGAGGGGAATGAAGAAGGTATCCAAGGCTCTTCTTCCATGACGAGATGGCACATACTTCGGGCAGCTCTTGTTTCCCCCAATCCCCATCCCACCTTCTGCCTTGGAATCGCATAGCACTTGGCCACTGTCTTTGATCCAGGGCACTCTGCGGGGCTCACGGGGATGGATGGGTTCCAGGCCCAGCACGCTTCAGTTGGCCATGTGATTGAGTGATTGACTGGCCTCTCTGTGACTTATCATTCCTGTAGGCATTAGGACAGAACCTCCCTCCCGGGGTTGCTGGAAGGGTGAGTTCCCCCTGCCCGGGGGATGCACTTGGCATAGCGCCTGGCTCATGATAAGTGTTGAGTAAACGTGACCTGTGTATCTGCATTCAACTCTAGGGTATCTCAAGGCCGGCTTGTCCACCAGCCCACAGGTTCTTGGAAGTCAAAGGGAGGTCTGACCTGTGCTGCAGGCACCATGGCACCTGGCACAGACCTGGCATGCTGGAGGAATGTTGGGTCAGTGAGTGGAGGTTTGGCGGAGAGGTTCTCTGGGGGTGGGGACCCAGACTGACTCCCCCCACCCACTCATCTGTGCCAGGGGCTGGGGCACAGCAAAGGCCAGCACCTATCCTAGCCCTTGGAGACTTGAGAGGAACGGGGGGTATGTGCTGGAGAGCAAGAGCTCAAGGGTGCAGTGGGGACTCTGATGACAGGCCCGGAACCAGACTCTGGGGCAAGAGGGTCTGGCCTGGGTCGATGCTTCATGTAGATCTTCAAATAAGAGCAAACCGGGTGAAGAGGACACTGTGAGCCTCCGCGTGACTGGGGTGGCTGGCGCATTCATTCCCAGGAATGGGGGTGATGGAAAAGACTGTGGTGGGTTTTGAATGCTGGAATAAAGGGCTTGTTTGTTATCTCATGGGCATGGATGGCTACTCTCCCTACCCAGGGGCTTTAGAGAGCTGGAATTGAAACAGGGATCGGTGGGAAGAGGAAAGGGAGGGAGAGAACAGGGCATCGTCTTTATGGCTCCAGGGTTGACTGCCTGCAGCAGCGGGGCCCATATTGACGATCTGTACCATGAAGGCTGATGTATGGGGAGAGGAAGCCAACCCTCAGGCCCAGCCCCCTATCCTGCAGCGCCCCCTCCCCTGCTGATGGCTCAGCCCCGCCAATCAATACATTGATAGCCCTGGGAGCTTAATGGACAGGCTGGGGGGTGGGGAAGGGCCCTTTGTGGCATCACTGTCTGTCCTGGCTGAGTTGGTGTGCGGAGTGTGACAGGCAAGAGGCCAGAAGCGTGGGGTTGAGGACGTGGGGGCACCCATTGGAGCCACACTCAGATTCAGGGTGGGCCCAGCCTTCCTCCTCCCCTTTCCGTCCATGGGAAACTCATGGGCTTCAGATCCAGAGATGGGTTCAGATCGTGGCTCTGTCAGTTTCTGTTCAATTTGGGCCAGTCTCATGGCCTCTCTGTGTCTTCCTTTGTCACCTGGAACACAGGGATAGTAATAGTTTCAGCTGCTCAGGTTGTGTGAGGAGTGGACATGGGCCTGGCATGGGCGCAGGTGCCCAGCCAGTAGGAGCCAACGTGAGCTTCACTCTCAATGACAGTAATCCAGAGAGTGCCCCTTGGGCCAGCGTCCAGGAAGAGTTAGGGGAGCTGCATTTTCAGGTGGAGAGAGTGGATTTTCTCTCCACAGTGGAGACTGCATTTTCGCTGGAGAGGAGTGAAGGTCTCCAGTTTGAATCCAGAGTCTGGAGAAGATCTGAAAGCCTTGGCTGGCCCGATGCTGCTGCTGCTGCTGGAGGCGGCAGGTGGTGTGGAATGTGGCTGAAAGTCTGGGGGTTGCCCCTCCTGGGACCAGGGAAACCTTCCCTTTCTGGGCAGGTTGCCTGGAGACAGGAGCATGGGTTACATGAAGCCTCAAGGATCAGAGGATGGGGACCTGGGCGGGAGAGGCTGTGGGGCCCCCTCCCCCTCTCTTGAATGGGAGCAGAAGGCTTAAGGGCTCCAGCTTTTTTGTGGACATTATTCCAACCTCCTTGCCCCCAAACTGTGGCCTGTGGCCTGAACCAGTTGTCATCCTGGAAAAGTAGAAAGGAGGTGGGTGAGGAAGAGGAGGGAGAACAGTGGCAGGTGAGGGCAAAGCAGGAGAGAGCCTGGGCTGGATTTGAATCTTGGTTTCTCACCAATTCTGTGACATAAAACAAGTGTTGTAACCTCTCTGAGCCTCAGTTTCCCTCTCTGTAAAATGGGGATATAATCGCACCAGGTTGGGCGCAGTGGCTCACGCCTGTAATCCCAGCACTTTGGGAGGCTGAGGCGGGTAGATCATGAGGTCAGGAGTTCAAGACCAGCCTGGCCAAGATGGTGAAACTCCGTCTCTACTAAAAACTACAAAAATTCACCAGGTGTGGTGGCAGGCGCCTGTAATCCCAGCTACTCCAGAGACTGAGGCGGGAGACTCGCTTGAACCTGGGTGGCAGAGATTGCAGTGAGCCGAGGTCACGCCATTGCACTCCAGCCTGGGCAACAGAGTAAGACTGTGTCTCAAAAAAAAATCGTAGCAAGTCATAGGGTTGTTCTGGGCATTACATACGAAGATGTCCCTCAAGAGATTCTTAGCACAGAGGAAGTGCTCAACACACAGTGGCTGTTTAAGAAACAAAACAAAACTAAAGGAAAAAGAGTCATGATTGTTACTAATAAAATCTCTTTCTGAGATACGTATTGTAAACAGTTCCCATTTTGCTGATGGGAAAACTGAGAGCTAAAGAAGTCAAATAAGTTGGTTGACTGGGGGTGAAGCCAGGTGACAGCTAAGGTCAGTCAGTGCTGGTTGCCGTGTTAGTGTTGCCTGTGTGGTGTGTGTACATAGGTGATGTGTGATGTGATGCACATGTGTGGGAGGTGGAAAGGGGGGCCAGGAAGAAAGAGGAAAATCCCAAACATGCTTTTCAGCCATGAATGGGCTGGAGAGGCTGAGGTCTCCAGGCCAGAGGGAGTGATGGAGGCTGTTGGATGTCCTGGTGTGAGATGGTAGCTTGGTTGATCCCTGAAGCTGGCACTAGGCTGGGGGCTCACCTCAACCTCTTTTCACCCCGTGGAAGGTTCTTACCAAGGTGCCTAAGAGGGGAGGCTTGCAAGGTAGATGGGACTTGATTGTAAGGATGACACTTGGCTGTTGTCCCGGGTAATAGGGAGCCTGGGCAGGGACATGGCATCACATTTCGGGTTAAGAGCTGCACCGGGAGAGGATGGAACCAAAGGCAGAAGGTGGGTAGGTTCTGTGCCACTGAGCCCCATGATTGTCCCCAGGGCTGGGGGACCTTGGCAGGCTTGGGGGAGGGATTTGAGCCTCTTGGGGCCTCCTTGCCTCTGTGCGGTTGCTGCATTGGAAGAGTGAAGATTTCTACCAGAACGGAAGCCCTCGAGGCAGGGGAAGCAGGGGCTGGGGACAACTGGAATCTTAGGCTGAAGAGGACCCTAGGCCCAAAAGATAATCCATGTGCATGGCGTGGCAGGCAAGGTAGAATGACAAAAGGCACCTTGTCTCCGTCGAAGACTTGCTTTATGCACCAACGCTTCTGTCCTTTTGAGAGTTGCAGCAGGCTGGGCATGGTGGCTCACACCTGTAATCCCAGCACTTTGGGAGGCCGAGGCGGGCAGATCACCTGAGGTCAGGAGTTCAAGACCAGCCTGGCCAATATGGTGAAACCCCATCTCTACCAAAAATACAAAAATTAGCTGGTGTGGTGGTGGGCACCTGTAATCCCAGCTACTCAGGGAGGCTGAGGCACGAGAATCGCTTGAACCTGGAAGGTGGAGGTTGCAGTGAGCCAAGATTGTGCCACTGCATTCCAGTCTGGGTGACAGAGTGAGACTCAGTCTCAAAAAAGAAAAAAAGAGTTTCAACAATTTGATTTTGTTCAAACCGCAGCTTTTCAACACCCCTGATCATTGTGTGCCTGGAGGGGTGTTAGCCAGGCCGACAGCAACATTGACTGTACTGGGAAGACCTTGAAGATAGGTCCCCCTTGCAGGGCACCGAGCCAAGTGATCTGCCACCCGGCTGGTAGCACAGGAGAAGTGAATGTTCCCAAGGCAGCCCCACTATGCATGTACTCTGGCAGCAGACCTTGAAATGGGCTTTAACCGGTGCTCACTTCCACAGGTCATTGAGGTGCCATGTCTAGGGGTCATTTTCTTCTTATTATTATTTTTTAAATTTTATTTATTTATTTCAGACAGATTCTCACTCTGTCACTCAGGCTGGAGTGCAGTGGTGCGATCTCTGCTCGCGGCAACCTCTGCCTCCCGGGTTCAAGTGATTCTCCGGCCTCAGTCTCTTGGGTAGCTGGGATTACAGGCATGCACCACCACACCTGGCTAATTTTTGTATTTTCAGTAGAGACAGGGTTTCAGTATGTTAAGATGGTGTTGAACTCCTCAAGCTGGTCTTAAACTCCTGGCCTCAAGCGATCCGCCCACCTCAGCCTCCCAAAGTGCAGAGCCACCGTGACTGGCCTAGGGGTCTTCTTAGCAGCGTGTCTGGAACAGAGGAATGCTGAACAGTCAGTTGCCTTAATACATCCCTCTGTGGGGCACTCTGGCTGGTGAGTGGGAGGGCTGATGTTGGCCTCCAGGTTTCCCTGGCTTTTGGCCTCAGCCTTTTGGCATGCGTTTGCTGGTTGCCTTCTGAGGGCAGAACTGAGATTCAGGGATGAACCAGTCACACTGGACTTGGGACAATAAGCCATTGCAGTAGAGTGTTTGGGGGCCCTCACCCAGCCTGGGAGGTGGGCCTAGGAAAGGCTTTGGGGTGGGGGGTGTCACACCCTCCAGAGGTCTTGCCTGGGAAGCCCGGGGTGCCTCCTGCCTTTCCAGGAGAACGGACCTTGTTTCCAAACCAGAGGCCACCCCCCGCCGCCTCCCTGGGAGTTGATCTGGCCACAGAGTGGGGCTTCAATGGTGAGAGCTGGGCAAGATGGATTGTTCCCTCCCGCATCCTGGGGAAGTGCCACCCGATAGCCCCTGCTGACCCTGGGTCACCCATGCTGCCTCTGTCCAGTGGGCCAGGGAGAAAATCATTAATGGGAGGCCGGCTTCTGGGGCAGGGCAGCTCCCCTCGGGGACCCGGGGGAAGGAGATTGGTTTGACCTCTGGTCGATAAGGTCTCCTGTGAGCAGGAGGAGAGTTGGAGGACAGGGAGGGGACGCCAGAGGCCTGCCCTTGGGGGAGGGGACAGGGCTAGCCACCTCCGGAAGTCATTCCAGGAAGGTCAAAGGCCACGGGTGGGGCGTCTTCCGGACAAATGTCCACCAGGTGTGGGCCTCAGGGGCACTGGAGTTCTTCTGTCCCTGAGCAGCAGGATGTGGAAGGAGGCGGGCCCCAGGTATCAGACCCGGGCTGCCAGTGGTGGAGTGGTGATGTGTGTGGCCACTGAGGGGAGGGGGAAGTGAAGAGGGGGCACACTTGGTGGGCCAGCAGGCCAGGCCCTACCTCACTGGACTGTGTGGTTTGGAGCAATGGACTTAACTTTTCTGGGCCATAGTGTCTGCATCCGTTCAGTGCGGGTGAAAAGCGTTCTCATGGTGCATGGTTGTCAGGACTATGAAAAGCAATAGCATCTTCCCACATGCTAATCTGGTTTGCAGGGCTTCACCTAGAGCCCCGTGAAAAACTCCCTTGTGTTCTCCCACTAGTTACCCCTAGTGAGCCAGGCACGGCTCTGAACGCTTAATATATGGCTTTATATATTTAATCTTTACAGCCACTCACGAGGAGGGTGCTGTTATCATCACCCTATTTTATAGGCGAGGAAACAGGCACTAGAGTTTAATAACTTGCATAAGGTTCTTTAGCTGGAGAGTGGCACACCTTGGGTTTTGAACCCAGGACCAGCTCCTGATGGCACTGGTGGGGCAGGCAGGGCCCTGCAAGGCAGTGGCCTGGGGCTGCCTGCAGGGGTGGGGCACACGAAACACAGTCTTTGGGGTCACAAGGCCTGGGGTTAATTCTGCGTTACTGCTCAGTTTCCTCATCCGTAATGTGGGATGATGCTTCCGCCCTGAGGACAATCGTGAAGGTTCAACAATGTGGTCCTGCTGACATACCTGCGGGCCCAGTCCAGGATCAGGAGATACATGCAGGTCTGCTTGGGGACAGAGATCCTACTGTAGCAAATGAAGGAAACACAGGCCTGCCCTTGGGAGCTCACAGCTGAGAGGCGAGACAGATGTTTTGGCAGCCAGGGTCCTAAGAGCTCTGCCATGGGCTGAGTGGGGCTGTGCCAGCGTGGGAATGGGGGTCCCTTGTGCCTAGCATCGTGATAGACTTTGTGGGCATGCAGGGGACAAACCTAGAATGGTGTCTGGGCTTCAGGAATGGCTCAGCCTTATGGCTGACATGGGATAGGACATGCATACAACCAGCAGGGTACAGGGGACCCTGCCCCAATGCTAAATGGCACAACAGGACTCCAGGCCTTTTCAACATTTGTTCATGCATCCATTCGAGAAGGGTTTGAGTTTCTACCGTGTTAGGTGCTGCGGATATAGTGGCAAATGAGAGACACTGCTCCAGCTTTCTCTTTTTCTCTCTCTCTCTCTCGTTTTTTTTTTTTTGATGGTGCTACCAGTCTACTGGGGCCAAAAGACAGAACCCAGATAAGTGCTGGAAAGAAGCACAAAGCATGGTGGGGGGAGGGAGAGTGTCAGAGCTGGAGGTGGCTTCAGAAAGGGGTCCAGGAAGGCCTGCATGAGGAGGTGACATTTGAGCAGAGACCCGAGTGAGCTCAAGGGGTTAGAATGTAAGGATCTGAGAAAGAGCATCAAAGCAGAGGGAAGAACAAGTACAAAGGCCCTGGGGCAGGAGTGTGCTTTGATTTTGGAATGCCCAGAGTCACGCCAAGGTGGCCAGTGGCCAGCGTGGCTGGTGGGGAGGGAGTGGTGGGAGAGGAAGGTGGAAAAGCATTCAGGGGCTCGCCTTGCAGGGCCTTGAGGCCTTGGAGGAGTCCTTCACCGCAGTGTGATGGGAAGCCCCGGAGAGTACGAAGAGGGGATTGGGTTTGGTAAAGAGAGACTACCAGAAGGCGAGAGTGGAAGCAGAAGGCCAGTGAGGAGGCAGGTGCACGTCGTCCCAATGAGAGGGGAAGGAAGATGAGCGCGGTGTGTGTTGGTGTAACCAGAGAAGGCTTCCTGAAGGATGTGGACAGGCACAAGCTAAGCCTCAAGGGAGCTGGAATTTTGGTGGCAGACGCAAAACAAAGGCTTCACCAGAGGAGTTAAGGATGTGGGCAAATGGTGTGGGAGCGAGCATGAGGACCCTTAGGGTGTGGGGAGGAGACCCCAGCATCAGCTGCAGTCACAGAGGACTTGGCCTGTTGGTTCCCCGGATGAGGCTCTCCAGGCCTTCCTCTTTCCCCATGGATGCAGCGTTCCGTCCCCTCTCGTTCCTCACCCATCTCCATATGGATTTGAGTACTTTTCTTCCCATTTGCTCACTTAGTCCTCACAGCTACCCCGGGATGGAATCAGGATAGGGGCTCTGCCCCACCACTTTACCGAGAATTGTTCTTGCTTTAACTGGGGGCTGTGGTGGAAAGAGAAGCTTTGTTGTCACATAGACCTAGGCCTGATTCTTAGCTTTGCCACTTTCTGGCTGGACCACCTTGGGCAACTTGCCTCACCTCTCAGAGCCCCTATTGCCTTGTCTTTGAATGGGGGTAGTGAGGGGGTGGTTATCAGTGTGTGCCACGGCCTGGCTCAGGGCCGGTGTAGACATGCCCTTGGTCTTTGTGGTGGGCGTGGCTGGCTCCTGCATGCAGTGGGTCTGGGACATCTGGGGTGGCTCATTATGTCCCTTTCCCTGCCCAGGTGCTGGTTGCCGAGGAGAACGTGGACTTCCGCATCCACGTGGAGAACCAGACGCGGGCTCGGGACGATGTGAGCCGTAAGCAGCTGCGGCTGTACCAGCTCTACAGCCGGACCAGTGGGAAACACATCCAGGTCCTGGGCCGCAGGATCAGTGCCCGCGGCGAGGATGGGGACAAGTATGGTATGTGCCAACCCTCTTCTCCTACCCCGTATACATGTCCTTCCTGGCCTCAGAGACCTCAAGTTCAAATGCCAGCTCTGCTGGTCCTGGCTGTGTGATCTTGGACCTGGCACTGATCCTTTCTGGGTCTGTTTCCTGATCTGTAAAATGGAAAATGGGAATGCAATAGTGAATCCCTGAGAGCATTGTCAGGCGTACTTACTGAAGATGTGAATGAGAAGTTCTTTGGCTGGTAAATACCCCCTAAGTGGCATTTGCTGTGGTATCAGTGGCTTGCCTGGGATGGCCTAAAGCAGGTGGCTGCTCCCATGCCACCACTCACCAGCCCCAGGTTCGGCCACTTCAAGGGGCAGGAGCCTCTAGGTGATGCTTTGTGGAAGCTGCTGGTGGTGGAAATTAGCCTAGTGTGTGTGTTATGTGCACGTGTGCATATGGGCGCTTTGAGCTTGAACCTGTGCACCTGTGATACGTGGCATGCGTAACACCTTGGGCCATGGTCCTGTTGACCTGCCCTTGACCCTGGAACTGCCCAACCCTCCTGGAGTACTTGGGAGCTCTTCCCACTCCTCTGCCTGTGCTGCCTCTGCAATGGCTGGGAGGAGTGAGACGTCTCAAGGCCCTGGTCCACAAAGGTGCTCAGCAGTGAGCGAAACAGGCAGCGCTCCGCCTTCCCAGAGCTTGGAGGGCATCTGGCCTAGACAGACACTGAGCAAATACCACACAGATTATTTATTTAAAATTGCCAGGCAGGAAAAGCGGAGACTGCTGCGAGGCCTCCTGGTCCTTGCCACTCACTGGGAAAGCACCTGCCCCCACCCATTCCTGCCTTCTCAGGCCCAGGTTCTGGGGATCTGGGGCTGTGGTCCTATGTGTGGGGACAAACCTGCCAGCCTGAGTGTTTTGGGGGTGATGCTCCGCCTGCCTGCCAGCCCTGCCCGTTGCAGTCAGGACATGACAACAAGACAAATAATTTCTTGGACCTTTTATCTTGGACACCATTTATTTTCCCTCAGCCCCAGGGCAGGACTGACCTCATAGTAGGGCCCAAGTGTGGCAGCTGCACCGTCACTGGGGGCTGGGCCAGGCCAGGCCAGGCTGGGTAGGGCTGGGCCACACTGGGCTTGTGCACCTCCGGACCAGCTGCCTCCCTTCTCCCCGACATCACTCTTCACCGCTTCTGCTCCCTTTCCACTCTCTTTCCCCTTCTTCCTTTCCCGGCTCTTCCCCGTTCCCTGTTTTGTTTCTGTCCACCTCTCTGTCCCCCTCCCCACCAGCTCTGCCTCCCTTCTTCGGACCACAGCTTCCCTCCTCCCCACCTCTCCCAGGCCCTCTGCTGGCCGCCTCTATGGGGCCTCCCATCCCTCGTGCCCCCCTCCACAGACGCCTGGCTGTGCTGGGCTGACCCAGGTGGTGGTTTTCCCTGGGATCTGCTGTCCAGTTGCTGCCAGAAGGGGCAGCTGGCTGGCCGTGGCGGGAGGAGGTGCCCTTCTGGGGAGTCCCCGGAGCTCTCATTGGCCCCTCCAGGCTGGGAGAGTACAGGGGGGTCAGACTCTGGTCTGAACCATCTGTCCACACCCTGAGACAGGAGGCGGGAGCTCGAGAGGGAGGGGAGCCCGGAAATGGCCGGCCCCTCACCCCAGAAGCAACTCGCCCTCTCATTCCTTCTGCCTGAACTGGGAACTCAGGGAATCTTTCCTGCTGTGTGACTTCAGACAAGCCCTTTGCCTTCTCTGGGCCTTGGTTTCTCTTCTGCACGATGCAATGGTTGGGCTAAAGCAGTGCTTCTTCTTCTTCTCTCTTTTTTTTTTTTTGAGACAGACTCTTGCTGTGTTGCCCAGGCTGGAGAGTGTAGTGGCATGATCTCAGCGCACTGCAACTTCTGCCTCCCGGGTTCAAGCGATTCTCCTGCCTCAGCCTCCCGAGAAGCTGGGACTACAGGCATCCGCCACCACGCCCAGCTAATTTTTGTAGTTTTAATAGAGACGGGGTTTCGCCGTGTTGGCCAGGGTGGTCTCGAACTCTTGACCTCAGGTGACCCACCCGCCTTGACCTCCCAAAGTGCTGGGATTACAGGCATGATCCGCCGCGCCCCGCCATGCTTCTTAAGTGTAACATGCGTGTGACCACAGAGGGATCCTGTCCAAATGCCCGTGTTGGTTCAGTGGGGCTCGGGGGCGGGGCCCGAGTTGCTGCATCTGACAAGCGCCTGGGTGGGGCCAGTGGGCGGCACTTCCAGGACCTAGGGACTAGGCCTTCTTGGCTTCTCTGCCAGCACCACACTTTCTAAGATTTTATGATCCTCTCTCAAGGAATATGTTTCTGTACTCCTCCCACCCGCCGACACCCAGGGCAGTGCAGGGCCTTGCTGCTGCTGCTCCATTTAAATGCCACATTAGAGACACAGATGAGGCCAAGGGACCCCAGCTGTGAGCCCGGGGAGAGGAAGTGAGACAATGGAGCCAACTGAGGCTTCCAATCTAGATCATCAATACAAATATTATTGGGAGGGTGATTTATGTGGCCAAGCCGGGGCAGGAGCGGGGGGCTGCCCTGCATTAGGGGCCCGCCTTCTCTCAGGGGAGGGCGGCCAGGGCGCCCAGGACAGTTCTGTTCAGGAACCTGCTCCCACTTAGAATGATGCAGTCTGACATGTACCACACACTTTGTCAGAATCGTGTGATTTGATAACATGCAGTCTCAGAGTCTCAGCAAACACCACGGATACATCCCTGTAAACACCTGGAATCTGGAATCACAGGGACACTCAGAAACTCAGATTTGCCTCTGTAAAGGCCAGAATCCGGAGGTGCCGGCTCTGTGGGTGGGCACGAGGGTCTGGGTGCCCTGCTCAGGGGCTCTTGGCCTGCTGCACAGCGGTGGGTGGTCCTTCAGTGAAATCTGCTTAGACGTCAGTGGGGCCTCCGCACCTTGGTATTCTGCAAGAGGGTCTTCCTGTGGCCCCCTAAAGCTTTCCCAGCACCGAAAAGCTTGAGGGGCTCAGAGAGTGGGCCGCTCCAGGAATAAGGACTTTCTCAGCCTTGCTTTGGGTTCTGGAGGGAGAGCGCAGCTGGCCAGAGGGCTGGAGACTTAGGTAGTTGAATATCTGGCAGGTGGGAGGTTGTGGGGGAGGGACACCCTGCCCACCTGGGATAATATCAGCCTCCCCTCTTCTTGCCCTTGGTGCTGGACACTGTGTCCTGCAGGCAGTTGCCAGTCAAAGAGCACCACTGGAATGAGAAGCAGGACACTGAGTTCCAGCCGCAGCTCTGCCGCTGAGCATCCTGCAGAGCTGGGGAAGAGCCTCCATGTCTGGGCTCAGTTTCTTTATCTGCCAAGTGGGGAGGAGAACGCCCCCTCCACCTGCCCTCAAGGTGGATGTTCCTAAGCCTGGGATGTGACCAGAGGGGGAGGCACCAATTCCTCAGAAGGAGGGGCCAGCTGAGCCCACACGCAGGGAGACTCCAGCATCGGGGAGTTTCTGGGGCAACTCTGCTTTTAAAGTTTATGAAACCTTATGATTGGATATTCCTGCCTGATTTTATTTGAAAAAAGATTTCTCGGAGAAAAAAAATGATTGAAAAAACCCATTTTGCCGTCGGCCAGCCTCCAGACTGACGTCACCCAGAATAACCCCGGGCAGGCCAGCACAGGGGCCCTGCTAGCCAGGGACATGGTATTTGGAGGACTGAGCTTGTCAACTCGGGAATCCAATGGGATTTGAATCTTGGCTCCACCACTTTCGAGTGGGAGACCGTGGATCTGAGTTAGCCTTTCTGATCCTGTTTCCTCTTCTACAAACAGGGAAATTGAAATGGGAGAATCTTTTGCCCAAAGATTATGTGATCATTAAACCAGTATTAATAATCACCACCTGACCTCCTTACTGTGGGTGTGTGGGGCGGTGGTGCTGTCGTGGGCTCGGGTGAGGAGCTGCCATCAGGTACTGGCTCCAGAGGCTTCCAGAAAGGACCTGAGGAAAGAAGAAGCGGTGCTCCTGTTTGCTCTCAGTGGGACCCTGGCAGGTTAGATGCAGGTAGAGGAGGCGTCCTCCAGTGATTCCCAGCAGCAAGGTCTGCCCCGATGAGGGAGGAGGGCCTTTGGCTCCCCTGATTGGGTGTGTCTCCCCTCACTCACTTCAACATAAATTACCAAGCACAAACACCAGGGGAGGGGGCTGCTGTGGTGAGTGACATGCCTTGTCCCAGTCATCAAGGAGCCTTTAGTCTAGGGCCCCCTGTTCCTTACTAGAGGCTGGCTTTGAGTAGGAAGAACCTAGGCTATGAACTTTCCACGTGACTGTGAGCCCACCCGTTCTCTCCCTCAGCCTCAGTTTCCCCACCTGTAATGTGGGTGGAGTAAAGAGTATGCAGCTGGTACTCTGCAGCTTCCTCCAGCTCAGGCATGGGGTGAGTCTGTGATTCCAGCTTCGCAGGGAGTCAGCGGCCCCAGTGCAGATGCTTCCCTGAGCCCCCGGGCTGGGTGCAGAGCCCTGGAGCCCCTGTGCTCGCCCTTGTCCCAACAAGGGTCCTGCTGTGGTGGAACCATCTGTTGACATGGCTGGTGCCCTGTGAGAATGTGAGCTCCTTGGAGGGAGTGACCTTGTCTTGCTCTTTGCCATGTCGCCATGTCCAGCACAAGGCCTGGCAGAGAGCAGGGCCCCTTTAAAGGCAGCCAGAAGGATGCATGAAATATGTACGGGCAATTCAAAGTGGAACCGGGGGCTGCCCTCAGTGGCTCACACAGGGAGGAAGGTGGGGGCTTCAGGGCTATTGCTGAGTTGGTGGTGAAGCTGGGAGGAGGTCCTCTCCTCCCTATTTCCCTCGTTCGGTAGTTGCCAGAGGTCCTTTGGACTGGTTGGGTGGCTGACGTAGCAGGGACCCCTAGTCTCAGAGTTGAGCCCCCATGGTCCATTTTCCACGCACATCCCAAAATGTGAGCGAGTTCCTCCACAGCGCAGAGGTGCTCGTCTCACTTAGATTAACACTCATGTCCTTGAGTCA